GCCTTCGCAGTCTTATCTGCCACGCGGCCAGAAAGGGAGAGTTTGGAGACAACAATCTCTTTTTGGCACGCCCAGTGGGACCCACTGTGGGCTTTCACAAGTTTGTTGATCATATTCTCTATTACTAGATTGCGCCACCATGGAAAGTCCTTATTTTGATGATTGCCAGAAGCTCTTCATCACTCCACCACAAGCTTCCTCTTATGTCAATCCACTTTATGATGAGAAGGCAACAGCTGACAGTGAGTCTTTCAAATCATTTGCTGAAAGGATATCTGATTTTGCTGAGGAATCTAACAGGCTTCATGAGGAACGCATGAGGAGGTTGGAGGAAAAGTTGAAAGGATACAAATCAAATTTTCCAGAACTTAAAACCCCTCAACCCAAAAGTGAGGTTTTAATGGAGGATTCAAAAAAGTGCCATGCAGCCGCATCTCCAGGAACTTTGAAGCAGTTTTGCAAATCACAAAACGTGACAGAGATGCCAATTGTAAATGAAGGTCAGACGACACTAAGGTCAGAGAGTAATCCCATGATCACAGTCGGGGGGCATGAATCACAATTGCAGCGTGCTATCCAAAGTCAACAACGCCATGCAGCTTCGGAGGCGACTTCAACAAGTATGCCTCCAAGTCATTCTAAGTCTGGAAAGACTAATACTAGCAATAGTCCTCTTACTCCTGGGAGGCATAAACCAACTCAGGTGCAGACATGTCAGCCATCGATCAATGAAGGTCCATCTGATGGCCGGCAAAAAGTTGATGCTACTACACAAAAGCCAACACTTTGGCCAGCATCAGGACATAAATCTGATAAGGTATCTACCTTATCTACTTTTACTTCTTTTGAGACTAATGAGCATATTTCTTCAGCCTTGCTTAAGAAGTGTTCGTGGCGACCATGCTTTCTTAATGGTCGAAGCCCTTCCAAGTTCAATTATGGACAAGGGCTGAATGTGAAAATATCCTTTTAAAGTTGTTAGTCTGAAGAGGGGAGTTATTTCCAGTCTCGGGGGACAACCTAGTCAGATTGAACAACAAAGGTTGCAAGACCTTATTGCCAATGAAGTTCACAAAGCTATAGAAAAAGAGGTAGCAAGGTTTGTGCCATTGCAACCTGATGCCAATTCAAGCATCCAATCAATCCCGCCACAGCAAAAGCATGTGTGCAAGCTTAGTCCACCTCAGCAGTTTGCAGACTCATTGCCCAAGGCCACTTAGGTGGCATGCAGGCCACCATGTTGTCTAACATGCCGTAGGCCATATTCAAAAAATAATGATTCTTTCCAAAGTGGCTTTCACAAAAAATTCTCAGATTTTCCTTGCAGCCACAAGGATAACATGGGAGGCCACATGAGAAACACTATGCCTTCACATCTGCCAAGTCGAAGAAGGAGGAAGAAATCTAAAGACCTCTATTGGACACCAATGAAGGAACAAAAGCAACAAACCCATGTTTCTGAATGGAGGCACGGGGGGCATGATCTCGTAGAAAAGCATGGAGGCATGTGCAAATGCTGCCTCTATGAACAAAGTCAATTTAGAGATTGTCGCCATATAAACTTGGTGGCCTACCAAGAGTTCCCTACCCAAAATCCTAGGACTCTTCGAAGGCGGCTTCAAAAGAAAAGA